CATATAATGCTGATTGAACAGTGAAGTGTGGACTGAGACTTCACTAGTGACTTTAGCAAAATAGGGGTCATCAGTGGTCTTGATAGGAGTGGACGGAGGCAGAAGCCCTAGTGGAATGGGCTGGCTAGGGAAATAGAGAAGAATAAGAGATGGAAAGGGTAGTTAACTCTTTACAGGAGCTTTGTGATAAGTGGGAACATGGGACAGTTGCTGGAGGAGGCTATGGTGTCATGGGAGTTGTTTTATTTTGCAGTCAGTGCTCTTTTATTTATTTTTAAAGGTTGGAACAAAATGATTCAGTAATGACAGGAGGGAAATAGATTGCTTCATGGGATTAAAGGAAGAAGTGCTGGAGGCATGTCAGTGAGAGGGCCAGAGAGATCGGACCTGAAGGACTTCACCTCGTTAAGTGGGATCCTGCATTTCCCTCTAGCCACTTACTTTTCAAATTTATTATACAGTATTTTCTGTTGGAAGTTAAGAAGGGCAGATAAAAAGCAGTAAAGCTATTGTATATGAAACTCAGTTATTGGACTATTGTAGGCTTGGTACAGTAGGGGAAGAGAGGAGATTGAATCTTCTGGGTAAGGTGACATTATAAAGTGTCTTTGAATGACAATTATCTGTACTGTTCTAGTCCCTTATCAAAATTTATGATTGAGCACAGGCTATAAACTTAATCATTTGAATTTTTTAGTTAGTGGGAGTGAATTAAATTTTAGCCTAATTTAAAAATGATCTAATGTTAAAACTTTTTCTTTGCAAAATTTATTTAATATAGATTCTCTCTATGCAAAGTTTTAGATACTTTACAAAAAGTACTTAGGAAGTGATTATTAATACTTCGATTTATTTATAATATCTTAAATTTTATAACCATATCAGAAATCTGAATGATTTGTTTCTTTGCCAGCTCTGATTAAAGTACGTACCTGTGAAGTTTTGGAAAGGTGAACAGTCTTCAGTTTACAAAAAAATGGTGTGAAGTTACGTTAGTAAAATAACATTTAGCTCTAAAAGCAAAAATAATTTCATTTAATACAATTTACTTTTTTGAATAGATTTTTCAAGAACAAATTTACATTTAAAATTTTTAAGCAAGTAAAGTTTTGAACAGCCTTAGTTACAAGTGTGAAATGTATGTGAAAAACAAGTTAAGTGGACTTCTAAATCAGCTTCACATGAAATCAAACTTGCATTTTAGATTTAGATACTGTTTATATATGAAGTATTGTTGCCACTCAGCCTTATTAAATTATAGAAATGAAATATTAGCTTTTCTTCTTTTATCAAGTGATAGCCACTTAATCAGTCTTCAGAGGAAACATTTGGGTGTTCAAGTGCAGTGTTTGAGAATCACTAGTCCTTAGTTCCAGCACTCTGGAAGTTTGAGGAAGGAGGAATGCATGTTTGGGCCCTGCCTGTAAAACTTGTGAGATCCTGCTCAATAAATTAAAAGAAAAGAAAAGAGCTGGGGATTTAGCTTCGTGTGAAGGCCCTGAGTTCAATTCTCAATATTGAGCCCCTTAAAAAAAAAAAAAAAGAATGGTTTTAAAAATAATTTACTCTTTTGGTGTATATGAACCTTTTTGCAAATCTGATCAGAGCTGTGAACTGTCTTCCTTGAGCACCGTACGTGGGCTCACACGTACATAATTTAGTACCATTTTGGTGACAGACCTCTCTGAAGCCCACTCATGGGGTGTCCCTTAATAAAGAATTTTAGATTTTATTTTTTAAAATTTTTTTTGGTCTTTTTGGGACAGGGTTTCCCTGTGCAGTTCAGGCTGGCCTTGAGTTCACTTTGTAGCCCAGGCTGGTCTTGAACTTGCAGTGATCCTCCTGCCTCAGCCTCCTGACTGCTAGGATTACAGGTGTGTGGCACTACGCCTGGCGAGAATTTCAAATTTTAAAATCTGTCCTAGATGGTTTGAGTGATTTTTCCTTAAAACTTCATATGCAGACTTTTCCAAAAGTGTTTCCTAGGATTGTTGTAGTTTGTTTCTTTGAGGAGTAACTTAAGCACAAGTGAAGGGTAGTGGGAAAGGGAGGTTGGTCAGAGGCAACTAAGGGCCTGAAAGCTCTTCTCTAGCTGCGCCACCAGCTGCTGGAAGCTGAGGGACCTTTGAGGAAGTTGCTTAACCTTGAAGGGTCCACTTTCCTGTGTACTTCTGCGCATAGTCCCTAGAAGTCCTTTTCTGAGCAGTTTCTTGATATTGTGGCTTCATGGTAAAACTGTTCATTCATTGAGGATTGTCTCTGCTACACAGTTTTGGATATAATGCCCTGGAGATAAAGTATCTCTGTAAATTGTGCTGCCAAATTGAATATGACTTTTGAGAAAAGTTCATGTGATCATGCTTTCTCAGATGCTGTATAAATAGAAGTTAAAATGCCATCCTATCCTGATCACTTTGAGTTTCTACATATTTATAATTCTGGATATGTGCCTTTGTTGGTTATATGTATTACAATTATCATCTCCAGTCCTGTAACTTCCTTTCTCATTCTCACTAGTTTTTGTTGTTTTGTTTTGGATGAACAGAAATTCTTAGTTTAGTTCAATTTATCAGTCTTTACCTAAAATTTACTTCCTAGTCAACAGTATGGATAAAAATAGTTTTAGAAGTCATTCACGGGGACTGGGGATTTAGCTCAGCAGCACAGTGCCTGCCTGGCAAGCGCAAGGTTGTGAGTTCGATTCCTGGTACCGGAACCCCCCCCCCCCCCCCCCCCGCAAAAAAAAAGAAAAAAGAAGAAGTCATTCATGTTACAATCAGTGCTGTGGGCAATAGGTGCACATGAGTTATCTTTATCCTGAAGGAGTTAAAAAGAAAGTCCTAATAGAGAAGAGAAGCCTGTAACAGCATAAGTGTCCATTCAGTCAGTTTATCAATTTAACAAGCATTTACTATGCACCTTGTACTATTTAGGTATTTTTTGAGATACAGAGTCCTGTAGGTAACTGTAGTGTTAGGAATCTACTTTTAATAATTGTATCACTATAGGCTATGTGAATTTTCTTTTAATTGGGAATCATTCTGATTGAGTTGATTAAAACGTCATATAATTGGACCTGACAACTTTAAACAAGACTAGTGCTGAAAAAAAGGCAGAATAGAACATCAAATTGAATTTTTTTTTTTTTTTTGAAACAAGGGCTTGCTATGTAGTTTAGGCCAACTCTGAACTCACAGTGTAGCCCAGGGGATCCTCCTGCTTCAGCCTTCCAAAAGCTAGGATTGCAGGTGTGGATTGCCATGCCCAGTGAATTTATTTTGTAAGTGAATGATAACTGCATGAATTGGAGCCCTTTTAACTAATTTTACTGTGTGTTTGATATAATTGTACTTGATTAAACAAAGGTTTATAATTTGAATGATGTGAAAGTTCTGTGAAGTATCCCTTGAGGAAAAGGGACACAACTGGAGTAACATCAGTTGACAAACATACGATGTTTAGAGCATAGGGAAGGCACTTTGCAGAGCATGACACGTGGAGTTTAAATAATTTAATGCTAAAATATTAGGGGCAAAGTTCCAATTTTTGTTTCCTGATACTGGCTTTGGATACCAAAACCTTGATTTTCTTTCTGGCTTTATCACTGATTAGACATGTGGCACAGAGGAAAAAAAAATGACTTTTGTGTATGTGGTTTACAATTTAAAGTGGTAAGGTGTTATTAAGAATGTAAATGAAGAGTTTAAATTCTGACTGTAATTATGTATTTACATGTGTATCTATTATTTTATGCATTATATAATGCAGTGAATTTTAAAGCTGTATATAAGACAAATGCATATCAAGATTAATTAGAAGATGACCTTTTAAGTGGACCAAAGTATGGACAGATAATGCTAGCTTAATTTGTAAATATAGAGCAGTAAACAGTGAAGGTCATTTGTGGCGGATAAAGATACAGTTGTGTGTTACTTAGATGTGGTGTATATCATTTCTATGTTTCTCAGAAAAGAAAAACTGTCAACTGTAGTTGAACCTTGAGCAACATGGATTTGAACTGCCCAGGTCCACTTATAGGCAAATTTTTTTTTTTTTTTGAGATTTGTAACAATTTGAAAAACAATTGAATTACACATCCTAGAAATACTGAAAAATAGTTAGAGAAATGTCACAAATGTGTAAGATACATGTAAATAAATATTTTATCATTTGTTACTATTAAATATACACACATCTATCATAAAAGTTAAGACATGAAACCATTTACGGTCAAGAGAAATGTCAGCAAACATAAACAGGCCGTATTAAATCATGCCTGCCTTAAATGCACCATGGTGCGCACTGTCCTGTTGGAACGATCTCACAGGCCCCTCCTGTTGCTGTGTGGTGTGAGAGCTCAGGTGTTGCGAGTGTCCGCTGAAAACACTGCGAGGCGTTAATCATCTCCGTGCGAGCAGTTCATCTCTCCAGTAAATTGCTTATCTTGTAGTTATCACCTACATTTCACTGGATTTTTGTACAGTACAGATAATATTTAAAATGTGTTAATCTACTCTTTTAAGTTTTCGAGGAGTCAAAAGTTATACTCTGTTGACTTTGGGAGGGAGTTGTACTCCTCACTCCCAATTACCAACCCCCCATTGTTCAAGTGTTAACTGTACTTTCTTCTCCTTGTCTTGATTTAGTTTTTTGTTTTGTTCCATTTTGAGACAAGGTCTCAATATGTAGTCCAGTCTGGCCTTGAACTCACTGTGTAGCTCAGGCTAGCCTTGAGCTCACGGCTGTCCTCCTGCCTCAGCCTCCCAAGTGCCGCCACACCTGGCCCTTGTCTTGAAAAACTATGATAAAACCAAAATTAAACTGGTCTTGCATTCTTTCTTTACTATAAAAACTTTCCTTTTTCTTTTTGCATTTTAACATTTGAAGGCTTGTGGTTTAGTTCTTTCCTAAAATCAGATAGAAGTCTGAGTTTTCAGCTTTTAATGAACATGTCCTAAATCTGTGATCTAATTCCATTTTTTCCCCTCCTTCTGTTATAGGGGGCTGGAGAGGTGAAGGAGAGCCAGTGTCCCCAAAATTGGTAAGTACTTTCTCTGGGCAGGCAGAATATGCTTGATCCTAGCTGGATAATAATTCAAATATTCAGGCGTTTTGTTGTTGTTGTTGTTGTTTGCTCAAAAAAGGCTTTCTCCCAGAAATAAGGCTTTGATGCTTGCACTGACTAAAAGGAAATTTTTGTTTAATTTCACATAGCCGTCTCTCAAATAGATTTGTGCTTCTCTTAATACTGCTAGGCTTGCATGTTCTGCATTGATAACCTGTTAAAATGTAAAGGTCCCCTTGGCCAAAAATGTCTTTAATGAAATAGTTAGGACTGACAATTTGAAAGTCAGTACATTCAAAAGTTAAGCTTCCCACTGTGTTTTGTATTACTTAGTATGCTGTTTAATTTGATGTCCTTAGTATATGTGTAGAATGGCTACGTTAATGTAACTGTGAAAATCTTGACTTTGAAATTCACAACTGTTAAGTATTTATATTCTTAGTATGGTATTGGCTTCATGTGTGAGACCATGTTTTTAGTGTGTTGTTTTATATAATTTTCGGGGAAAACTAGAGAGAGAAAGAAGGAGGGAGAGGGAGGTGGGAAGAAAGAGAGAGAGAGAGGGAGAGAGAGAAAAATGTAGCAGTGTAGGGCATTTTTTTTCCTAATATCTGTTTTAATAGATTTTATAATGGCTTTAACTCATCACACTTAATCATTTCTTTGAATGTCTAATTCAAGATCAGAGATTATACAGGGCAGTCTAGTGACTAAGCATCAAGTAATTATTAACCTTATTTGGAGAGTGTGTATTATGAAAAAAAATTAAACAAGATAGCTGGAATAGTGTAGTCCTCTAATACAAGACTGCTTTTTAAAAAAATCCTCTCTCTCAAGTAGTAATTAATATAAGTGAAAAGGGTAGGTACAGTAGATATTTGGTTAGGGTTTCTTTTTGATAACTTATAGTCCTTGAGATACCTCTCTTACCTTTCAGGGATTGGGCTTTGAACACGAAAGGGGAGATACATGAACTAGCTAACTGTGCATTTTACTTTTTAATTCCATTGGCCTTTCTCTTAGGGAATCTTCTAAAATAAACAAGATCCTACAGCCCCTTTACTCTGTGGTGTGTTAGAATCATAGAATTTTTGTTTTGTTCTGTTTTGTTTTTTGAGACAAGGTCTTGCTATGTAGTTCAGGCTGGCCTTGAACTCACTATGTAGCCCAGGCTGGCCTCAAACTCATGGCGATCCTCCTGCCTCAACCTCCAAAGTGCTGGGAATACAGGTGTGCGCCACCACACCTGGCTCAGAATCAGAATGAATGTTAAAGAAGGGGATGTAAGGGCCTTTTCATCCAGCCTTCTATCTTGTGTGGCCATTTCTTTTACTGTATCCCTGACAGGTTGTTATTTATTCAGGTACATATTGATTACTACATTTAAAAAAGCAGGTCATTATTTTCTGTAATGTATTCTGACAAATTCTAGTTCCACAGAAACTGAATAAATATTACCAAGGTGGGGATGGGGTGGGAGGAAGGGTTCTGTGGTCATATAATTTGGGAAACACTGCGTTAAACAAAGTTAAACAGGTTTCTTTACTGCAGGACTTCTCAGAACCTTTAATATGCTAATGTGCATTGTGAATCTCCAAGAGGGGGATATGATATGCAGCATTCTTGAATACTTCTAATGACAGGGAGCCCACTACCTCATAAGGTAACCCATTCCTTTTTTGTATAGCTCTAATCCTTAGTTCTTCCTTAATTGATTTGAAGTTATCTCCCATAAGTTCTATTAAGTATTTATTGGTTATGCTGAGCCCACCACACCCTTCTGTGTTGTCCTCTGTGTGGTGTATATTTATAAGATTCTGGCCAGGCTTGTCTGGATACTTTTATACTTTGGAAAACTATTAACATTTTGGTAAATGTGGCAACTAGTTCTAAAATTTAGTCTCATTGTCACTATGCTATTACACACTTTACTCTCAGCCCTCTTCACTTTGAATTTCTATAAATGTGAGCATTTACTTTGGTGTTCATCTTGTTCAGTGGTTGAGATAGTTTCAGTGGACATGCCTGATTTCTGTGAAGATGGGAGGAACACATGTATGCAGACAGCCTGGGCCACAGAAGCTGAGGGCGAAACTGCTGGGTGAACGCTGCCAGGGAGGGAGAGATGTAGGCCAGTGCTACAGACCTGTGGAGGAACGTGTGGCGGGGAACCCTGGCCTGGCCCGGCACAGAATGTTGTAGAGCCATGGGCTGCGTGGTATGGACATATAGGTGTTCCTTTTCTGAAAAATGAGGACCTGCCCCACCCTACCAGATCTGAACAGTCAAAAGGAAGGTAGATACTATCATACAGCATTAACTCTTAAGCGTTTAGAAACATCTAACTAGGTGTAGTGATTTTTGTTAACTGCTGCCGTACCAGAGTTTGAGCATAACGATCTTGCCAGATGCAAGGGGTGGGTAGCCTCTAAAATCAAGATTCATGGGCGCTTGTGGAGGAACATTTTCTGTTGATCTGTGGAGTGTCACCAAAAAAACACCACCATGAAAACAAGGCAGGGTGTGTTGAAAATTCCTAAACAATAAGAACAGTAAGTTTTAAAATGTCATTTATGTTAATAAAGGTTAACTTCTTCAATAAGTATAAAATAATTGTATTATTTTTAGCATCCATGGTAATTTTTTAGCACTACTAGTTTTGTCTCACTGTATGTTAGCTACATGTTAAGAAATATTTTGGACAGGGTGAAACCTGGTGTCTGAATGTTAGGCATTGAACAAGATGTAAATATATAGAGACGTATCATGATTTTACTTTTTCCTACTTAGAAGCAATTAGACCTTCTTTAAACATTGTGTCTGAGAATATAGGCACAAAAAATTTTATAACAAATACGTGGATGGTATAGAGAACAGCAAGCTGTTTTTAGGAACAATCTGAGGTACACTGTCACAGACTTACTGTTAGTTATAATTGTGGGTAATCCGGCAGAGTTTTGATTGGAGCAAGATTTGTATCAATTTAGTAATAAAGCAAAAGATTTCTTGGCACTAAAACCAGAGCTTTCCTCCAGGTTATCATAATCATAACAAAAGACCTGATGTCACCTATCTCCAAGCAAAACTATTCAGAAACACAGAAACTGCCCCTGCCCCGTTTTAGAGACTTCTAGAATAGCAAAGCCTACATTGTAGAGATAGGTATGTTGAGAAGTTTTGTTATACACTTCGAATGCAAAATTTTAGTACAGAATTTGAAGAGTTAAATATGTCAAGAATCACATAAAACCTTACAGCTTACAAGAAGCTTTTCATACAACAGTCCTAAGAATGGGTGATATTATCTTCCCTGTAACGAAACAAACTCTCTGAGGGTGAGAGTACTGTAGTTACACTGTGACTAAGTGAAGTGTGAAGTATTTTTTTTATTTGTTTGTATTTGGGGAACAGTTGAATGTTCTTTATAGATATCATAACTGTAGTTGTTTCTCAGCCTTTTCGCTAAGGTCAAGTATGGATATCACAATAGCATTTTTTAGTGAGGTGTTGTATTTTGTTTTTTGGTGTTTTTTGGTGTTGAGGATTGAACTCAGGGCTGTCACACTGTTACATCCCCACCCCTTATTTACTTACTTGTTTGTTTATTTTTCAAGAGAGGGTCCTAAACTGATAAATCACCCAGGGTGAGCTGGAACTTGTAATCCTCTTGCCTCAGCCTCCCAGAGTGCTGGGATTATAGATGTTCACAACTATACCTGGCTAGTGGGATTTGATAATTGCTTTTGTTTGGCTTATGGGGATGTTTGTTTCCTTGTGTGTGTGTGTGTGTGTGTGTGTGTGTGGTTTTTATGTTTTGCTTTTTGTTATTTAGAGGTGTGAGGCCATTAAGTATCCCAGTGGCTTGATACGCACAGTTGTGACGAGTGTAAACACTGGTGTATTATGCTAGGCAGAGCTCCTTGGTGCAGAGCTCTGGCAGGTAGATGGTATTATACTTGAATAAAGTATGTCTTTTATATTCTCCTTATAGCAACTGATTTGCTATCTCTAACTTAATAAAATTGATCAAAATGTAGTAAGTCATTTTCATAAATTTAGAAATAATGCTTCTTTTGATGGTAAAAATTGCCCTAGATAGTATTCAGATGATGGCTTCATGAAATTGTCTAAGATCCCAAAATGTTTCTTAAAATAGTCAATACGTTCTTGCCTTACCTTTGTAAACTATAAATGTTTATAATTTGTTCCTTTAGGCAGCAACTGGTCTCTTACAGTTGACATCCAGAAATAGAAATTTCTGGGTTGGCAGTGTAGCTCAGTGGTACAGTGCTTACCCAGCATGCACAGAGCCCCAGGCTCAATCCCTAGTGCCATAAAACAGAGACAAACAAACAAATGAACAGACAAACACCACAACGGAAGGAGGATTTCAGATGAATATTCTAATCCTTAGTAAGTTTTTCTATAAATAGTCACTACCTTTTTTAACCCTTCACTTTTATTTTGAAATAAAATGGGTAATTGGCATTTAGAGTCCTTGCCAAATAAAACTTCATGCCTTTGTATGTCTCTAATAAGCAGACAACAGTCTGATGGAGGAAGTAAAAGCTGTCAGCTTCTCATTAACTTGAGTTGCGGGCTTATTAACGTGCAGGGCCTCTTTGACATTTAGAGTGTCCAGGTTAAACCCTGCTTATACGTTTTCTTTTCCTGAGCATTTTGTTTGATCAGTACAAAATTTTCTAATGTTTTATCTGTCCATGCTCACTTAACTTTTTCTTACTTAAAAAGGCTGGGTGTGGTGGCGCATGCCTGTAATCCCAGCACTTGGGAAGCTGAGGCAGCAGGATCGCTGTGATTTCAAGGACAACCTGCTACAAAGTGAGTTGAAGGCCACCTTGAACTGCATAATGAAACCCTGTCTCAAAAAAGACAAAAAAAAAAAAAACCCGCAGGCATTTTTATGGAAAATTTTGACAATGTCAATACCCCCCAAAGAAGAAAGTATTATAAGTAACTCCCAGTGCTATTACCCAGAGATAACCACCAACAAATTACAAAGTGTTATCAAACAAATTCTGGACAGTTCATGGTACTATTATTTATACAGGTTTTCAGTTTGATAAACAAAACTTGGCTTCTTAAAATTTATATTTCCATTATTATTGAAGATAGATGTTGTTCACATTTGTTGGTCATTCTTATTTCCATTTCCATGAATTACTTTTCCACAGATTTTTATTAATTTGTGAGGCCCCAGCTATATAAATAATATGAACTTTTTCTCAAGTGTATTGTACGTTCTGTTTTTAACCTGCTGTTTGTTTCCTTAGTTTTTATGGGTTCACTTGAGCCTATGGTATTAATATGTTAACACCGGAAGAATAAAATATGCCTTTCTGTTTTTGAAACTGTTCCTTCAACTTCAGGTGACTCTTGATTTAACAAAAATTATAAGTAATCATGTTTGGACACGTTTTCTGGTAGAATCTGACAGAAATTAAAACCATATACTGAGGGCTGGGGACATAACTCAGTAGCACAGTACCTGCTTGGCAAGCTCAAGTTTCTGAGTTCGATTCCCGGTACTAAAAAACTCCAGCTCCCCCTCCCAAAAAACCCCACATACTCTTTTCAAACGGAACTGTAATATATACGTTAAGAATTTGTGTAGGGGGGCTGGGGATTTAGCTCAGCGGCAAAAGCGCCTGCCTGGCAAAGGCAAGGTCGTGAGTTCGGTTCCCGGTACCGGAGAAAAACCAAAAAAAAAAAAAAAAAGAATTTGTGTAGGAACATTACTTTAGTGTTTAAAATTAAAGAGACTGTATAATTTTAACTTTAGCAATTACATATAAATAAGCTTATATATATCAATAAAATCTGGTCTCAGTCACTTGAGTCAGTTATTATAGTTCCAAAGATTTCAAAAATGTAATAAAATAGCAAAAATACAGGTTTGTTCATCAGAATATGTTTCTATCTCCAAATTCTCTCTCTTAAATATATTGCTTTTATGAAATTTTTTGGTTAACAATATCATGTATGGTAAATCTTTCCTAGCCTCCACAAATTAACTTTGAAGGAATCTTGCACATTGGAAAATTTTTCTTTTCTGGACTAGAATATTTTGATATTATGTAATGTAGTTATAAGCCTTAGAGGCAAGATTGTCACTAATGTTTTAAGCAAATATAATAAAAACTAATATTCATAAGAATTTATTCTGTGGTTAATGATTCCACTATAATTCTTAAAAGTTTTCAGAGGACTTTTTTTGAAAATTTAGGTTAAATGTGTACTTTATCCAGTGGTAAATTTTTTGAAAATGTGTATATTTTGACTCTCATTGTATTAATATAACACAGCGGTTCTTCTGGCTTTCTGGTTGTTTCTTAATGTTAAAAAGCAGCTCTAGCAAGTACAGGGAAGAAAAGAGATTTGAGGTAAACTTTAAATTTATTCAAGCAGTAAAAGGCTTTTGCTTTGGTAGAGTACCTAAAATCAAGTTCACATTTAAGAGAAGAAAAAAATTAAAAGAAAAATTAGGCATTTTAATTTTAAGTGTGGTACTACTGAACGGAGGCTAGGAAGGCCAGGTTGGGTGTTGGCCTTGATCATCAGGAACTAGACTTTGGCGCTAACTCCATACGCAGTTGTATGTGTATAGCTGGAGATGCACTGGCAGATTTGGGAAGATAATGACGTCCATTGTAAAGCAGGAAGTGCCTTTCATTATTAGACTGAACCAGGCAGATATGTAGATACTTTGCAGTATGTAGCGCAGTGCTGAGCAGGAGTGGGTACTTAGATGTTTGCACCACCATGACTTTTTTGTTATGGTTTTTCTTTCCTTAGTTATTTGAAGTGTGCTCTGTAGGCAGGTACTCAAAGGATGAAACCCAAAAAATTTGGTACTGAATTATTTTGGAAAAAAATGTTTGTTTTTTTTTTTTCCCCCTGTGTTAAAAAAAATCAAATTTTCTTGACTAACTTATTTTATTTAACACATTTTCTTGATTCTCAGTGTAATGGTACAAAACATTTTGTGATCTCTACAGCTGCAGCAAGAAGAGTTTGTTATTTTAAACGGAGGCTGAAGAAACTGTAGAATTAGCAGACATAAGAGAAAGTGGAGAAGGTAGAGAATGGAGTTGCAGACTCTCCAGGAGGCTCTTAAAGTGGAAATTCAGGTTCATCAGGTATGTTGCATTATTGGCCTCTCTCACATTGTTATTAAATAACTAAAATTAGTAAATAGGCCCATTTCTGGATTTAGTAGTTTTTACATCCTCTTTAAGACAGTTGTCTAGGAATCATGTCATCTGCCTTTCGTCAGTATTCAGCAAATGTACTGATATTACTTCGAAGGGCTTCAGTAGGAGCGGGGTGTGGTGGTGCACAACTGCACAGCCGCATGTGCCATGCCAGTCTGAGCAATCCAGCGAGAACCTGGCTGAAAACATTAGAAGGGCTGGGGATGTAGCGCCGTGCCCCAGAGTTTAATCCCCAGAGCCACCAACCCCCATATTTAGTAAAATACGATTTTCATATCCCAGAGGTATTACAAAAAACATCTATTTTTTTGCTTATTTTAGGGGGGCATTCACTTGGAGGACTGTTTTCATATGGTAAAACTCTTGCATTTTAAATAATGAGACTTGTTTAGTTCAACTTCCATGTATCACCATATACATTAAAGTCTTGACTCATTGTTTGACTCAATTTATGCCTTGATTGCAATCTTTGATAGTTCCTTTCACAGATACTGTTTTAAAGTTTCACAGTTCTTACCTTATGTACCTAAACAAACTTTAAAAATTTATAATTATAAAAATGTATAAATAAACTATGTTATAATTGTGTAATATGTTTCTATCATGCAACAAATTGTCTCAATAAAATAATTTTATATATTATATGAATATATATAATAAGCATAATCAAGACAAAACCTATCCATAAATAAATTATTAACATTTATTGTGTAAATACTGTTTTGTATCTTTTTTTACATTAATTGGTCATTAGGTTTAAGACACACATACAAGCACACACATACATAATCTTTGGTACTCCAAAGTGAGCTGATTAATCTTAATTCTGAATATGTAATAATTGGAGACATGGGAGTAGAGAGAAGGAAAGCTTTTGGCTTTTCTTTGGGGGGGAACCATGTTGTGGATTGAAATCAGGACTTTGTACTTGCTAGGCCAGTCAGCTATATCCCTGGCCTGCGAGCTCTTTTTTTGTTTGTTTTTGTTTTATTTATTGTTTTTGATCTGTGGCCTCACTGTGTAGCCCAGGCTGGCCTTGAACTCAGTGATTCTCCTGCATCACCTTCCCAAGTACTAGGATTACAGGAGTGTGCGACCACACCTGGCTTAGAAGCTACTTTTTAAAGTTTTTTGTTCTTAGGTATAGCTTCTTTCTTTTTTTTAATCTGAATAATCTAATTCAACATTAATTTCTGAAGCTATTTTAGAAGATAGCTTAGATTTTTGACATCTGTTAGATTTGCACATTGACCAGAGTTAGTGTGGGTAAGCACTTACAGGAAGGCCTCAAAGGCATTTTATGTCCATACACAGACACACAGACACACACAGACACACACACACATCTATATATAAAATATAATTTTAAAAACATCAAATCTATATGTGCAGAAATCCTTTCCACTACTTTGGACCTTGTTAAACTCTTCCTCAGTAGCAGCATGTCTTGTACAAGTAGGCTTCTTTTAGTGTATTTAATTTGTACACATTTTATTTTATTTGGTCTTGATTTTAGTAATGATAGAAGCGAATAAAATTTGTTTATAAAAGAAAGCTTATCTTTTTCTTGGATGAAAGTGTCTTAACATAGAGATGTGTTGAATGCCCAGTTTATCTCAGTGCCAAGTAATGAAAGTTTAACTCACAATTTATTTAAAGCCGATATTACCATAGAATGGATTTTGGGAATACAGCAATCAGTCTGAAATGTGTGTGGATCTGTGGTAGTTCTGTGATGTTAGATATGAATTTTGTACTTTTTCCTTCTCAAGAAACATTGAGATTGCCAAGTTAATGTTATGTTTTCAGTTCCTTCTCACAAGACTCAGACATGCCCCAAATAAACTTTTCTTGAAAGACTTGACCTAAATTGAACATAATTACTAAATTAAATACAGTTCTTAAATATTACTTTGTTTTATATTTTGAATTCAGGCTTACTGATTTTATAAACATTACAATTAAGAAAAATTTAACCTCTAGTTTTTAAATATAATTAAAAATTTAAATTATATTTGTTGACTCAAGTGGGATATAGTATTCTTTTAAAATTTACCATGAACTCTTTCTTAATATTCATATTTAACTATCAGTCTGTTTCCCTGTATATTTAGCTGGGGCTTTTTTAGCGTAAACTTAATAGATTTTGTGTTCGTCCTTAATTCAGATATAATACTTATGTAATAATAAACATTTATTTCTATGTCAAAATTTGAAGCTTTCCTATAAGTTCTCATCCATGCTAACTCTGAGCTCTATGCAAATCTAGTAGATGTCAAAAATGCCAAAATATTTTAACATATAAAGCATATAAAATATTGTACTCCAGTTACATCTGTAAATACCTTGATATTTTTGAAAAAAAATTAATAGCAGAAAACCCAGATGACATGTGTTCTTCTTAAAACTGATGTTACCTTTATTGGCTGTGAGGTAACTACATGATCGTTTATCATGACACCAGGATGCCCAACATACCATTAAGAGCATTGGGATTCATTATTAGGTTGAGATCAAAGCCAGAACATACTTTTGACTAAATATTAAGGCCAAAGCTACCCTTTGTTGCATTTCCAGTTAGAGAATAAAATCAGTCTGAAATCAACTTTACTAGATAGAAGTGATGTTTTGGAACTACCTGATATTGCTGTGGGGAAAGTATATTTTTGTATTTTGCATTTTCTCCATATTAAGTGGGAGATACAGCAATGCATACATAGTTGATGTTGAATAAAAATTAAAATGTAGGTCATCTTTTGGGGAAAATTGCTTCTTTCCTTCCCTTTTTTGATGGTATATGAATTTGAGGGTTTCTAAAGTTTCAGAGTATTTATTCCATATGGAGTGAAACATGTAAAACAGGTTAGCAAACCAGGCATAGTGGCGCATGCCTGTAATCCCAGCACTTGGGAGGCTGAGATAGGAGGATTGCTGTGAGTTTGAGGCAACCTGAACTACATAGTGAGACCCTGTCTCAAAAAAGACAAAACAAGCCGGGTGTGGTGGTGCACGCTTGTAATCCCAGCACTTGGGAGGCTGAGGCAGGAGGACTGTTGGGAGTTTGAGACCAGCCTGGGCTACAAAATGAGCTCAAAGTCAGCCTGAACTGCATAGTGAAACCCTGTTTCAAAAACAACCAAAACAAACAAATAAACAATGTTAGCAAACTTTCTGAAAAGGGCCAGATGGCAAAATATTTTAGGCTTTGCAGGTCATTTATAGTCTCTTTCACAACTACTCTGCAAATCAGCCATGGACAATATACAAACAAATGGGTGTGGCTGTGTTCCATAAAACTTTATTTACAAAAACAGGTGGTTGGCCAGATTTGGCCTGTTTGCGGTATTTGCTTATCATTGGTATAAAGTGCATCCTTGTGAAAAATGGCTGCATTTATGCAACAGAAAGTGACTTGGCTTTGATAAACACATCAGTTTAAAGTCGCTAGGCATTTGGATAGTCTAGTGATGAATCTTTTAGAGACAAGTGCCCAAGCCATAGCCCAGACCCACTTATTTATTGCAAAGTGCCAATACTGCAATTAAACCTGAATACTGAGGTTGTAGTTTAGAACAAATAACTGTTATCTGATGCTCAGCTGCTGGGGGACTTGGCTGTCATGCCAACAGAGAGGGCTCTACGTGCCCACTGTGCCACACATGCCATAGGTTCTCCAGTGCCAGTCTTGTCAGTTTCTTAGCTTGTCCTGCCCTACCCTTGCTCTTCAGACACACAGTGGAGCTGCGTAGATAGAGGTAAGTTGGTTTATTTCCTCCAGAGGTGGGCAGTTAGTGTGGTTTTCAGTTTTTAAATTCCAGTGTGATGGAAGAAAAGCGTTTTCAGCCTTAAAAAGGTAACTTTAGTATAATAGCCAGTTCTTTAGTAACCATATCAAAAATGAAAATCAGAGGCTATTTTATTGAAGAGGCAAGATTTGTGAAAATGTGTATGTATAAAATCTTGTGTTTCAATTCTGTTGAACTCTTGGAATGTGTATCACTACTGTGTAAATTCACACTGGGATATAGAGGAGCGACTACGGTATTGATAAGTATGATTTAGAATATAGTGACTTACACTTTGTGTGTTGAAAGGGCCCGTGGTTGGCAACCTCAACTACACACAGCGGATCTTAGTACCAGGTGAAAAGGCTGGAACTGAACTCAGCACCTCACTCTTGCCAGGCAGGTGCTGTGCTGCTGAGCTAAATCTCCAGCCCGGAAAGGCCTTTGTCCAATCAGAATAAACGTCAGAGATTATAATTTTTTTCAAAGATTGTATATGTTTTTCAAGTGGGAGTTTTGGGTTATTAATCATCACCTATTCACTCATTTTGTAGTGAGTGAGTGTGTCTCATAGCAGATCAAAGCAGCAAATTCGGGTTGGGATTCAGAAGTGTGAGAGGCAGAGTAATAGAAAAGATTTGCTAGCTGACTGCCTGAAATTGAGTAGACGAAAAAGCTAAAATGAAGACATAAGAACAGCACTTTTGGGCCTATTATTGTAAGAACCTTGTTTATAGTACAGTATATTAATTGATATCATCATGCCTCTAAGTAGCAATAGAACTTGACTTTTTTCTATTTAATAAAGTAGGTACGTATGTACTATATTTTAGAAAGGTTTTATTCTGTAACTAAATAACTTAAAAGTATTTTGTCACCCAGAGTGACACATTTTTCCATTGTATGAGAATTCACTTGGAAAACAGCTTATTCCTAGAAACTTGTAGGGATCAGCCTTCTGATATTCCTTTATTCTGCAAACTCGTGGATACTAGGTTATTGTTCCCTTTTGACAACGATGTTTGTTCAAAGTGAGTTAGGTCAGATGACATTTGACTCTTGCTTTTTGATTGTTGGTGAAGGTCTTTCCATGAGGTACTGGGGTAGCACTCTCTTTCCCAGAGGATCCCAGGTAGGAAGCTCCACTTTCTTGTTCTCAAGTACCGAGTACCACTGTTCCAACCAAACACATCCTACCCTTTATCCCCTCCTGCTTTGAGAGAGGAAGTGGCAGAGTCACACCTGACACTCGGGTTCTTCTGTTGTAAGAGTGAAACCAATAAAACTGCCAAATCTGTGCTTTGCCATAGTCAAGCAGACTAGTTTCGTATGGATGCAAGTTCTTTCCAGGCCTGACTTGGGACTCTGGATAGTAATAGTATTTTAGAGGGATGTTTGGCTTTTGGAATATCCATCTTGCTTAAATTGGCTTTCAAAAGCCACTGTATCCTACTCTTCTCCATATTTAAAAATCAGGTACTTTTTGATTTCATATAAAAAGTGATAGTTTGATTTTTTTCTATTAAGATGAGTACTTCAGCCAGACATGGTGGCACATGCCTGTAATGCCAGTACTCGGGAGGCTGAGGCAGGAGCATTATTGTGAATTCGAGGCCAGCCTGGGCTACATAAGTGAATTTGAGGCCAGCTTGCACTACATAGTGAGACCTTGTCTCAAAAAGAAAAAAAAGACGAGTGTGTCAGTAGCCTTTTACATGGGTGGTAGAAGCTTATTGGTCTGTTCTCGTGGTGGTGTTCATTTTTTGTTGTCAACTTAAAATCCTAGATTTTTTGAGCTAAACCTGATTGGTCATAGGAAGTTAATATATAAGACTGATGGTTGTTTTTCTCTCTTTATTGCAGAAACTGGTTGCTCAAATGAAGCAGGATCCACAGGTAAATAAAAATAAATACTATTTTTATTCACTTAATTTTTAAATTTAAAAGAATTAAAATGATCATAAAATATTAACATGTAGATGATACTTAAATTTTAAAAACTATTTCATCCCTAATAGCAAATATTTTTAGCACATTGGTCTTCATGTGTTACGGATTTAGAAAAAATTCATTCATTCTATTATAATGTAGCTATAATTTTACCGTTGTTACTATTATTTGGCTTATATATTAATTGCTTTGAGTATTTTGAGAGTTGATACTTTTCATATAACTTAAATTTCACTTCCATAAACCCATTTATTCAAAATCAGAGATTGTTGGACTTTCTTCGGTCTCGGTATTATTGAAAGTAGCAGTATACCATGCTTACTTGAAGCTTATAGTATAGAACATTTGAATACTGAAGTGTACTGTACTTAGGTAAAGAATCTTAGAATAACTTTTAAAAAGCATTTTAGAAATCTTTATTTTTGAAAGAACCCTTAAAGGAAGTTTTAGAAGTACCTTACATAGTATAACAGTCCATGAAATGTTAACTTTTGTTTAAATTTTTGGGGGGATTTTTTTGACTTTTGGCATTATAGTCTCTATTTCTGACAAGAAATTTTACAAAAAGTGATTTGTTTTACAAGGACATATTTGTTATTCAGATATTGTCTCTTTTGGCACCATTAGGCAGTTGGTCATACATGCCTCTTTGTAAAATAAAAAAAATACAGTTTTAAAGAATGGTACTGAGACATTGATTTTTGGAATTGGAAAATAATATTCATTTCTACAAATTTAGGACTTAGTGGTCTTACTGTTGTGTTTTAACACAACCTATGGATTCTGAGAGCTGGCATTTACAGCCAACAGTTAGACCTGTTCAACTTCCGTGAGAAACTTTATTTTTATCTTTTGGGCGTACTTATAGTTTAAATTGTATTTAGGGAACCAAGAGGCAGTAGACCCTACTTTCTCTATCACACACTTACGCAAACTTTTCACCTTTAGTGTGATAACCTACATTTTCAGCAGATGAAGTACTATTAGAAGCTAGCATTTGTTGTTGTTGTTTTTTTGGTTTTTCTCCGGTACCGGGAACCGAACTCACGACCTTGCGCTTGCCAGGCAGGCACTTTTGCCGCTGAGCTAAATCCCCAGCCCAGAAGCTAGCATTTGTGACGTAGTTGATGATCATGTGACAGAGCAGTCTTAATCTGGAGAATCTGAGGGGCAGTGACTTGCTTGAAAGTATTATAGGTGATCTGATTAGAGAAGACTTGCAACAAACACACATTAAAAAGTACAAATGAAGTAAACTTGAAACTTAGTGGAGGGGGCGGATGTGTGTCCCAACCCTGAGAGAAGACCAGGCAGGGTAAATTCAAAGAACTGTGTGTGACGTGAGCAAGTAGAAGTCAGTTCTCATTGGTGTTCAGTCTGCTAGTAGGCTCTCTTGCTGTGTTAAGCATCTGAAAACTTTAATTTTGCATTTTCCTCCACTTGAAAAAAAAGCAAAGCATGCTCATCGTATCTCATTGAAAATAGTGTCCTTTTTGATTCCTAGAATTTTAGAACTGAGAAAATGCCCTGGTAGTCAGTATGTTAATTTGAATGATGTAGTGTTAAGGCAGTTACAGTACCAACAGCTTTTCAAATCTAGGCTAAAATAACAAATGTACTTCACTAAACAAGTAAGAGGACAGTAGAGAAAAACCTCTTATCTTTGTTGGTAAGGCTGCTAAGCATGCAGGGTATGCATCTTTACGGCCTCCGTTTAGCTGCTTTTGCCTGATTAGTGGAGCTTTAGTGTTTGTGTCAACTACACTTTCTATAAAGAATAACAATATTTTAGTAGTAAGGTACTATTCTAGTACAAGATGTTAAAATATAAAACTTATAATTTAAAACAGTTACAAAGAAGCTGCCCCTTGGGGCTGGGGATTTAGCTCAGTGGCAAAGCGCCTGCCTGGCAAGCGCAAGGTCGTGAGTTCGGTTCCTGGTACTGGAGAAAAAAAAAAAAAAAAAAAAAAAAAAAAAAAAAGAAGCTGCCCCTATTCTGGGTTTAGGAGCCCACATTTAGGATTTATGCATTAGGGGTGATGTTACGATTGTGATTTAATGCATGACAAATTTGATTGGCTAAGTGCTTAAGGTTGCTTCATCATTTGTAATACAGTGTGCATAGTCCTCTTGCTACTATTCTGTTAACAAATGAATATCTTTCTCACAGATATTTTTTCTTTCCAATCAGAATGCTGACTTAAAGAAACAGCTTCATGAACTCCAAGCCAAAATCACAGCTTTGAGTGAGAAACAGGTAGGGGAGTTGGAGGGGGGGCATATTTTTAACATTGTGTTCTAAAGATATGTCTGCTTGAGGCTTCTAAGAGAACTGCTATTTTTCCTCATGTGTGAAAATAAGTGTGGGCAGCCAGACTCGGTTTTAATTTTGTTTGAGCTCTGTTTATCTATTTTTATTTTTGGTGGAAATCAGTCTCTAGAGTATCCCATGGGTATACGTTACTGGCAAATATCTAAAAGCAACGTGGCAGGCTGCCGTTAACTATGTTAATTAAACTGTATAGTTTACCCATAGGGGAAGAAGTAAAGAAAGTTAGTGGAAGTGTGTGATAGAAAATCCTGTAGCTGCTGTAGGTGTCTCATTACCTGTTTTAAAAGCTCAAGCTGACATTTAATTTACTGTGGAGAGAACAGTTGTTAAGTGTATCTCTAAATGTAGGCAGTTGGTCATATGTGGCTCTTTATAAAATAAAAAAATAAATTCTTGAAGAATGGTCCTGAGACATTGATTTTTGAAAGTGAGATACTGATTTTATCATACTTTTATATTAATCTTTGGTAGGTATTGACTTACTATGATGTAAAAAAACTCGAGTGGAAACTTGTTAAACTTATTCCATATAGGGCGAGAGAAGAGCGCATTGCTTTTTAGTATTGTCTGGAATTATTTTGTATAATGACCTCTGCTTCATCAGTCCAGGCAGCTCCTGCCACCAGGTGGAGTGTGACAATTGATAGAGCTCTGAGTAAATGTCTATGGTAATCTGATAAAAGATTTGTTTTTTGTTCCTTCCACACCATTTTCCCTCTGGTTAAAAAGGGCATTTTCTATCTCGGCGTACAAAATTTATAAAGGTAAATGTGTGGACCAAAATGATAAATTGATTTACAATTGATAGTAGGAGTGATATCTTATTAAAGATTTTTGATGTAATAGTTCTCAATAACTGATTCTGTGTGATTTTTAAAAGCTTTTATTTAGTGTAATAATAGCAATGAGAAATTTATTCCTAGACATTTATGATTTTGTCTATATTTTGTTTTCTTTTAACTGAGAGGAGAAACTTGGGGAATGGTGTGGAATAGATAAGTTAATGAATTAAATCATCTTCCAACCTGAGTGAACAACTACTTTTTAACTCCTCTCTCCTCTTCTTTTGGTTTGCTATCTTGTTTTCTCCATCGATGGGGTATTTTAGATTAGGGAATTGCTAATAAAAAATTAGGAAGAGGTGGGATAGTGGGAAACAGTTTGTAAGGGCAGATATACAGTTTGTTAGCATGTATTTGGCTCTGAATGTCATTCAGTTCTAGGGAACTCATGATGTGTGCTAGTGAAAGTGTTCTAGCTTAAAAATTCTATTAGCACTGAGCCTCCTTGTAGTTTCAGGGTTAGTTTGACATGATGCCAGTGAGTGAGTCACTTTTGCTGAAAAATCCCTCTTCCAGCAGGGAGGGAAGGTGAGAACTGATTAGTGGAAATACGGGGTGGGGGACTGCAGTTAAGACACCCCAAAGCTACATTTTGGGAAAATGGGACAACTAAAGAAAAATTTGCATTTAAAAAAAATTTTTGTTGGTGAAAATTAATGTGAGGATTTGGTTTATTCTGTAACATTTTATTTATTTATTTTTTTCTGCTAAGGGCCTCACTTGAGAAAAACTGCAACTCTGTTGAGTAAGACATTTCATTAGGTGGCAAACTCAATTATCAACTAAACTAAGTTTGGATTTTAAAAGTTGGAATTAAAAAAAACTAACAGGAATACTTTAGGTATATAAAGTAAAGGAAATTGGAGTCAGAAGCTGGAATGTGGTTTTGCAGTTTTTATATTACTTGCTTAACTCAAAATAGCTTTTTTGATGGGAGAGGAAAATATCATATTTAGATAGAATAGTATTTGAAAGAAGCATAGCTATAAAGTGTAAAAGGTGATCATTCCTCAGGCTTATTTCCAACATGAAGCATTACTATTGCTAATTAAACTGTAGTTTTAAGTAGTTTTATTTTAGAACAAATTCCTAATGCTTCATGCTCAGCTTTTTGTTTTTCCTTTTCAAAAGATCCACTTAGCCTCTGGCAAAACCTACTGATTTTACTTCCACTTTAATAATGAAAATATGAATTATCGTACATGACTAATCTTTTAATTTAACATTAATTTTTTGTTGAGAGAAAAATTTAAAATGTAAAAAATATGAGGGATAATGTCATATTCTAGAATTAACAACTATTAACCCTTTGTCATATTTGCTTCCATTCTTTTTCTGTATGCATTTTTCTATATCCATTTGAAAACTTAATTATATAGTTAATAGGTCTATATATTTATTTTGGTTTATTAAAAAAATAAAACAATACAAATAGCCACTGTATCTTACACTTGACAATTATTAGTTCTTATTCATTATTACCACCTCAGTCTCTGATACTCAGTTTCTTCCTAAGACTAATTGTGTAATGATGCACTCTGGGAAAATACAGTCATTAGTGAGCATCCTTTATGGCTAAAGCCCAGTGAATTTCACTGAGTTTCTGGTTGGAACATTCCAGGGCTTTCAGACTGTAACTTGAGATTACTGAGTAGAAGCTCTCAGGTGGACTTTGAAGTCAGCAGAAGCTGACCTATAGGACTTCAATTTGTGGTTGACAGTTTTAATTGACAAAATCCCCAGACTTGATTGGCTGAGTAGACTATGTGTTGGGTAGCCATTAAACTCATAGTTTACAACAATATTTAATGATGCAGGAATGTGCTTCTGATAAAATAAGTAAAAAGGCACATACAGTTGTATTTCATGCATTGTAGTTCCATTTTTGTTTGTTCTACGTATGTGTGTGAACATGTAAATATGTATAAAAATTGTTGGTATAAAATGTTGGTGACTTTACAGGAAGTTTTTTCCCCTAAATATTCTTATGTATATTTTTTCTAAACCCTCCATAGTATGTTTTGCTTTTAGAATCAGAAAATAAACATGAAACATTATTTTTTTTAAAATTTAATATCTACCTCTTTTCTGTGCCAGTTAACATTTAAAAAATCTTATGACATTTTTTTGATACTTGAACTATTCTAATCCAAGAATTAAGCTACGTTAAATAGTGGTAATTTTAAAGTATGGAATCAACTATTAATTTCTTTAGAGGTTTTTTTGTTTTGTTTTCATTCTGCACTTTCCCATCCCCTATTTCTTTCCCCATCCCCTATTTTTGATAGGCGTATGTGGTCCTTTTCTTGTCAGAACAGAGATGTCCTGACATTGGAGCCAAAGCACTCAGTTGCATTAGTGCTCTGCTTTAATTCTAATTCCTTGTAGAGACACGTTTCTTTTTGTCTCCCCTCTCCTACGTGCCCTCCTTTCTCTTTTATGGTACAAGGGGTAGATCCCAGGGCCCCGTGCATACTAGGCAAGGGCTCTGCCACTGAGATGTGTACCCCAGCCCAAGAAGTGATCTTATCATCCTAAAGTTTATGCCATCAAAATTGTATCTTTGTCTTTTCCTGTAAACAGTTTGTCACCCTACCTCCCTTCACTTGGTAGGTTTTACCTCATAGCTTAAATTTGTTATGTCCAGGGAGCCATCCCTTTGTTCAGTCAGAGTCAGCTATTTCTGTCATAGTCTTTCACTGAACCCTTCATTTTTCCTTCATAGTTATGGCATTAAGAATTAGATTCAGGTCTGAGTGACTGAAAGCCCAAAATAAAGATGGCCGTTTAGGTAAAATGTTATTTCTCTCATCTGAAAGCTCTGTAGGTAGCCTACGTCTGGTGAGTGGTTCCAAGCATCAGGAAACCCAGGCTCCTCCTATTCTGTTGGTCTGCCATTCTCAGCATGAAGCTTCCATATCATAGTCCAAAATAGCAGCTCCATCTGGTAAGAAGGGAGAACACAACAAAGAGCGGTCCCTTCATTTTTTAAGGATGTTTACTGGAAGTTTCATATACTATTTCCAATAAAATCCCATTGACCTGATTTTAGCCACATGGCCTCAACCAGGAGCAAGGAAGGCTGGGAGATGTAGTTTACTGCTGGACAGACAGAATTCAGGGACTGTTACTGCGTAATCATCAGGAAGTAAATACTAGGGCTAATTAGCAATTTCTGTTGCCATAGCAGATCACAATTTGTAATTATATGACTATATGATCACTATTTTTGAAATATCATTGTTATTTATTAGTTTTCAGAAAACAGGAAACATGTTTATTTTATTTGCTGTATTTCTAGTATATTTAGTATAATACTTAACACAGAGTAGTATTTAGTACAGAAGCACTAATATTTCCTAAATGAATTTTATCTAACTGATCATCTCTGTGCTTATAGATAATTCTTTGTTTTAAAGAACAACATATTTGCTTTGTGTGAATATCTGAATGTATTAAGAATATCTTACTTGTTGAGTATTTGAGAATATGATTTTTAATAACTTTAATTGTCTGGCTATATCTTAATTTTTAAAACTACATCTCTGGGGCTGGGGATTTAGCTCAGCGGCAAAAGCGCCTGCCTGGCAAGCGCAAGGTTGTGAGTTCGGTTCCCGGTACCGGAGAAAAACCAAAAAAATAAAAAATAAAAAATAAAACTACATCTCTTATTTCTATTATTTGATGGTAAGTTGTTATTTATTTTCATGGTACTGGGGTTTGAACCCAAGGCCTTTGCACTGAGCTACCTACATAGCCTTTATTAATTAATTAATTAATTTGATGACAGGGTCTTGCTAAATCACTAAGTTGCCTAGGCTAGGCTTGAACTTGTGATTCTTCTGCCTCAGCCTCAGAAGTGTTGGGATTGTTTATAGTTTTTGTTATTATAAATATTGCTGTGCTAAGTGCCCTTCTGTGTAAATCTGTATTTCTCTCTGGTCACATTAGGGTAATTTCCCAGGTGTGAGATAACTAGGTGTATTGATGAACTATTATTATAAAAATTGTACATAACAAACCAGTTTTATTGAGTAGCTTACAATAGCAGGTTTATTTTCATACTAGGTCTATAGGTTACCT